TCTCAGCCTCTGTGCCTTACCCCACCTCTCCTCACTGCTAATTACTCTCAGTCTTTGTTACTTGTCCTTCCTTTGTTCACTGAGAATTTGGCTCCTAGCCCCACCCACATTCACTGAGGCAGGTTCAGCCTTCCACCCCATCCTCTACTGTCAGTGTTAGATTACAATTCCCTGTTTATGCTTTTCAGTCTTGTTGGAGGGGGTGGGCATCAATCTGCCCAGGGGATGCACTGGATTATGTTCCTGGGGAGTTAAAAACAGAAGATTTTAATTTTTAAAAAAAGTTTTAGGTGATTTGGTCTGGACAAAAATTAAGGAAAAATCTGCTGACACAGGAGGGAAACATGGAGGCTGGCTTAGTAGGTTTTGGGGAAAGAAGGAGTCTAAGAAAAAAGTGAAGAATCATTGATTCCTGAAAGTAAGTACCAAATCAGGTAATTTGTTGTACATTGGTAAGGAAAAACTGCAAATTATATCTTAGCCTGCTCAGATATAACCATATATGGAAGGTTGATACATTCCTGTGTTTTTAACTAAAATAAAACTTTTTCTTGAGAAAAATTCTTCTGTGCAAAATTCGAAATGTTCTCATAATTTAGCATTCCTTATTAATTTTTATAGGAATATTTGATGACAGTTAAGTTTTGAAATCTGTAGTGATTTTAACATCCTTATGTGTAAACTGAATTTCCTTCATAGTAAACTAATAATAATACACAGAGTGTATTAGAGGAAATTACCTGGCAGATTTTGCTTTAGCATTTGTGTCTATTGATTTTAGGATGCTTGTTACATTATTGGACTTTCTATCATATATGTAAAAACTCAGGAAATTTACTACCTTTTCTTCATAACTATTGATGATCTTAAGACTCCAGAGGAAAATGATAAACTTTTCACTGCTATTAATTATAGTGAGAGCACTTACAACTTAACTTTACCCAAGCAGGTAATTATTTGGCTGACTTAAGAGGTATTTTGATTCATTTTATTGTATTTTGAATTGAGCAAACAAATTATTGACTTTTAAGTAACTAAGGGAAATACTTGATCTTTAGTTTCTGCTTTACCATTTAAATGATGCTTTCAGTCAGGACTTACCAATTAAAATTCTCTCTTCATCTTTAGATTTAATTGCCTTAGTGAATGTGAATCTAACCAGGCAACAAGACTTAGAGTGTTGAATCAATTATTTAAAAAACTTTTGTGACGTTTAACCCATATGTATAAGTCTTGCTTATTTGATTGACTAAAAAAGGACCAGATATGTAATTACTGTCAAGGCAAGAATTAGAATATTTTCACCATCACAGAAGACCATAATTTCTTCTTCAAAGATAACCAGTACTCAGATTTTTATGGTTGTGATTTCTTTGGTTTCACTTTCTTTTTTCCTAAAAACACAATGATTTGATTTTGCACATTTTCAGCTTTTTAGAAATAAACTCATAAAATATGCACTCTGTTGTCTGATTTGTTGGTATGAGGTCCATCTCTTGTTGCACTTGATGTATTTTGCTCATTTTCATTGCTATGCAGGATTCCATCATTTGAAAATACAAGAACTTACTTATTTCTACTTTTGTTGATGAATATTGGGGTTGTTTCTATTTTTTGATTATTATGAGTAATGCTGCTATGAACTGCTTATAAGTATCTTGTAGTGTTCATTTGTAAAATTTTCAGTGCAATATCTACTAAGTAAAATTGCTAACTTATAGCATATGAGTATATTTAATATCAAATTCTACTAGTTTTCAATATGGGGAAACATTTCCATCAACAGTATATGAGGGCTCTTGTTGCTATATATCTTCACCAACACTTGGTATTATCTTTTATTTGAGATAAGGTCTCACTGTGTAGCCCAGGCTGGTCTTGAATTTGTGATCCTCTTGCCTCAGCCTCCCCAGTGCTGGGATGACAGGGATCCAACCACCATACCCAGCACGTCATCTGTCTTTTAGGCAGGCATTGTACCACCGAGCTGTACCCCCAACTCCTGTCAGTCTTTTAAAGTTTAGCCATTGTATGTGGTGAGTATGAAATAGAATTTCATTATGATTTTAATTTGTACTTACTCGATGACTAAACAGGTTTTGCACTTTTTTCATCTATCGATTGACTTTTTAGGTATCCTTTTTTGTGAGGGGCTTTTGAGTATCTTCTTCACTATGAAGCTGTCTGTCTTTTTCTTACTAGTTTGTAGAAATTCTTTGTGTTCTGGACATGAGGCCTTTGCTATCAGATGTATTGTTAATCTCTTCCAGTACAATGCGACCTGCCTTTTCATTTTTAGCTGTTTTGCATCTTTTCCTGGAACACATTGTGCATTTTCCCTCTTTTTTATTTTTTCCTGTGCTGGGGATAGAACCCAAGACCTAACACATACTAGGCAAGTACTCTACCACCAACCTGCACCTCTTGCCCCATTTTCATTCTCTTAATGTATCTGTTAATGGTAGGTATTTTAATGTTATTTTATTCATTAATCTTTTCTTTTATGTCTAATGCCTTTCAGTGCCCTGTTTAAAAAAAAATCTTTCACTGCAGGGCCAAGAAACTATTCTTCTGGAAGCTTTATATTGTTTTAATTTATATATTTAGATTTGTGGTCATCTGTCTGGCTATCTACTTGACTTATCACACACTATTGAAATGACCGTGATCTGTCTCTCCAGTGCTCTCCAATTAACCCTTCATCATCAGTAAAAAAATCCACGTACTTATAGAATCTCTGTTCTATTACACTCGCCATTTGTCTGACTTTGTAGTACACTCTCTTTGTGCCTGGACGTTTGTAGTTAGTCCTGTGAATGAGCGGCCTAAGTCCTTCAACTCTGGTCTTCTTTATGATTGCATTATCTCTTCTTGGCTGTTCAGACTTCCTTAAGTTTTAGAATCAGCTGGTTGGTTTCTATAAAAAGAACTAAGATTTGCATTGGTTTTTATTGAATGTATAAATTAATTTGAGGGAGTATTAATTTTTTTTATGTCTTTTAATCTGTAAATATAGCATACGCCTCTCTTTATTTGCCTCTTCCGTTCCTTTTGGTGATGTTTTTTAGTTTTCTCTAATGTCTTTCTTTCATTGTGTTATAAATGTCTTTAAAATTTGATTGAAGTAGAATTTATAAACAATAAAGGTCACTGATCTTGAGTCAAGTTTTGGTAAAGAACATTTCCATCCCCCCCCCAAAATTCCCTGCTGACTTTTTCTAGTCATTTTCCTTATCCTGTTTTTACAAACAACCACTTTATCACTTCGTCAGCATTGCAACTTTTTCCTGTTCATCCTTTTTTTGTTTCTAAGATAATGTTTTGGATAGTCATCCATGTTTTTTGTGCTTCATTAGATACTTCCTTTTAGTTCTTGAATCATGTTTCACTGCATAAATGTACCATAATATTCCATCCATCTACTGTATATATTTTTGCTGTTTGAGGTTTGGGTTGTTAATAAGACTGTTGTAAACATTCTTGTATAATTTTTTCCGTTTTGTTAGCATATAATATTGTACAGGGGGATTCATATCAATAATTCCCAATTGTGAATAGCCTTACATTGTATATTGATAAGATGACCCCCACCATTCCTCCCCAGCAACCCCACCCCACCCCATCCCACTTAAAGCTGTTGCAAGAGATTTCATTGTTCTATTTCATATATGTCTTGTATAAGTTTTTTGGGTACACATGTTTCCTTTCCTGTTGTGTAAATACCTAGAAACAGCATTGCTGAGTCATAGGGTAGGTATATGTGTCACTTTTTAAAAGATGGCAAGTAATTCTCCAAAACTGGTTGTAGTGTTTTATATTCCTACCACTCATTCCAGTTCCCTGCTTCCTTGCTGTGTCTGGTATTTTCAAGCTGTTACTTTCAGACATTCAGGTGGGGACGACATGGACTCTACTACTGTTTCATTTGCATTTTCCTGATGACTAATAGTGTGCATTTCTTCACATCTTACTGACATCTCTATATGTTCATTTGTGGAATGTCTAGTACAGTATTTGTTGCCCACTTAAAAACTGAGTTGTTTGTCCCTTTATTTTTTTTGTGGAAATTCTTTCCATATTCTGCATACAAGTCTTGTCATATGTACATGTACATGTAGAGTTATGTGATACTGTGATTTGTACACCTGTTTCTCAGTGTGTGCCTTGCCTATTGATTTCGTAATTGTGGTTATTTATGAGAAAAAAAACTGTGTTTTGATGTTTTTCTTATGATTGGTACTAACTTAGATCTGTTCAGTAAATCTTTGCTTACCTCAGAATCACAAAATAATTGTCCTGTGTTTTCTTTCTAGAAATGTTATACTGTTCTGGGTTTTATATTTAGTCTCGTATCCATCTTAAATGACTTTTAGTGTTTAGAGTGGTACCAAGGTCAAGGTTAAGGTTTATTTTTTCCCTATACCCAGTCAGTTCTTTGAACAGTATTTGTAAGGCTTTTGTGTTTTTCTTGTTGAATTGCATTAGCCCTTTGCTTGGAAATAATTTGACTCTGTGTGTGGGTATGTTGTGGGATTCCCTTTAATTGAACTCTTTTCTATGCTCACACTAATGCATCTAGATTATTATAGTTTCAAAGTAAGACCATCAACTTGGTTTTCTTTCCATTTGTTCTTTTTGCAGTGCTAGAATCGAACCCAGGGCCTCGTGCATGTTAGACAAGTGCTCTGTCACTGAGCTACATCTCCAGGCCTTGGCTTTCTTTTGTTTTTCTTTTTTAAAGGGTGCTTTGACTATTTTAGATTGTTTGAACTTACATATGCTTTTAGGATCTTCTTGCCTGTGTTTTCCAAAGTATATTCTACAGTTTTGTTAGAAATTACATTGAACGTGGAGATTATTTTTGGGAGAATAGTAATTTTAGCAACTTGGATGTTCCAGACAGTTAGTTCTTTCCTGTCTTTCTGATCATCAATCTGTCATTATTTCTCTTCTGCCTGAAGAATGCTCATTATGGCTTTCCTTTTAGTGATGGCATACTTATAATAAGTTTTTCTAATTTTTGTTTTTCTGGCAATATCTCTATTTTCCATTCTTTCTTGTTGGATATTTTCCCCCCTGTGTTTAGAATTCTAGGTTGTTAATTATTTGTTTTCAAATTTTGAGTATATAATTGTGGTGTTGTTTGGTCTAAATTGTTTCTCTTGTGTATTCAGTTGTCAGTTTTACTCTTATCACTTTGAAGGTCATTTCCAATCATCTCTGCCCTTTGTGTGTCTTTAAGGTAATTTCTTTACTTTAGATTTTTGTAGTTTACTGTGAAATACTTAGGTATGTATTCATTGTTTAAATGGTTTGAACTTTTTATGCTGGTTTTGGAACCCAGGGCCATGTGCATGCTAGGCAATTGTACTTCACTGAGCTACATCCCTTGGCTGGCCAGTTGGCCTTCCTTCCTTCCTTCCTCCCTCCTTCCTTCCCACCCTCCCTTTCTTTTCTAGCATGTGTCATGAGGTCTCATTAATTTGGGAAATCTATCACTTCATCTTGTTTCTGTTGCATCATTCTCTTCCTCTTCTCCTTTTGAGACTAACACTGTATGTGGACCTTTTCCTGTGTGTATCTTGTGAGTTTCTTGTTTCTTCTTCATCTCCAAGTTCCTCCTTTGTTCTTCATTTGGATAGTTTCCTCTGATTCTCTTTTGGCTGTTTATCATTGTTAAACTCATGCATTTAGTTCTTAGGATTTTTTTTTGGTTTGGGTTTTGTTTTTTTGTATTTTATAGTCCTCAAATTTCCATTTGGTTCTTTTTTTCTAATAGCTTTGAGATCATGAACTAAAATACTCAATTTTGTCTCTCATCTCTTTGAACCTAGTAAACATAGCTGGTGTCTAAGCTTGGATTTCCTCTAGGTCTAAAACTTGATGTATGGCACTCCTGTGATTTTGCTTCTGTTTTTGTGGATGTTTCTGCGTGGTTTTGTGTGCATTGCACATTTTTTGGAGTTGTTTTTGTAAATAATGGGCCTGAGTTTTTTGTTTATTTCTGTTGGAGAAATGTAGAAATAATATCTTTCTCCATAATAGATGGGTTTTTTTTTTTAATTTGAGAGGGAAATTAAACAGAGCTGGTGACTCTGTAGCTACCAGCAGGTGGGATCAGAATAATCTTATGTTAGGGACTGAGATGATTTGGTGCCTTGATGCAGATCTGTGGTCTGTCTGCTTTCAATTCACCTTTATTCCCAGGAGTTAGTCCTTTAGGGTCCCAGCCAGAAGAGAGGGAGTTTGGCCAGTGCCCTTGCTCTTTGGTGGGACCTGGTTTCCAGTTTCTATCCTGAGTCTCATTTCACAGGCTCTGAGCTGCCTTCTCTTAAATTTTCAAATGCCCCAGGTGAAACACATCCCCAAATTCCAGAGTCATCTCCCTGGTGTTTCTCTGTCCTAGCTCCAGTCTTGACTCAGCAATTTTTAGATTTGTGTGTGTTGTTATTTCTCTAAACAGATATTCTTTATAGTGTTTTTTCTTTTTCTTCAGAAGATTGATCAGAAATACTTAGTTTGCTTTAGTGGAAACTCCTGAATTGACTCTTTCTGCCATAAAACGTATTGTTGTCTTTTCATTATCACCTTCAAAAGCAAGAGAAAGGAAGTTTTTATCTTTTGTAACTGTTCCGTTTGGGATAGGCAATTTCGTTGAGTTTTCTAATGTTCATTTATTGTGAGGGTATGGATACCAGAACCAACGTGCCTGGTTGTATCACCATTTAATTCAACATATTTAATTAAGAAGAAACTATTAAGGCAATTATTTGAACTCTAACAGTTTTCATTTATCCTTCTGTATTTAGTATGTTGCCCACATAATGACCCTGAAGTCAGTAAGCACCTCTGTTACACTCAGAGAAAACAAAAATATTCCAGAAATACTAAAATTCAGATAATTGACCTGGGCACCCAGGTATCTCAGTGACCAGGAACACAAGTGCTAAGGTGAGTTAAAAAAAAAAAAAACTTATTTCAGTTTTATTTCTAATTTTGATTCTAGGCCAAAAATGTAGGATGTTATTCAGCATTAAAAACTGAGTTAGTAATAGCTCTTCTTAATTGCTTTTCTTTGTGTGTGCCAGGATAGTCTTTTATGTTTTGTTTTCTAATGGAACAACATAACTCATCATTTATTCCACCCTTCATCCTTTCGTGCACAACATTTATCATATAATTTATCATATAATAATTTATTTATAGTCTCCATACCGTGAAAGCTGTGCATATGTACAGTAAGTTTCTTTTTTCAAGACGTTTACAGTGCAGTTGATCAGAGAGGATATACAGAACATTAATGGATCAAGAACTGTGCAGCCTATTACATAAGTCAAGTGAGAAGTTTCTGTGATATTAAAAATCTCACAGTGCTCAGTTGTGAGTGAGAATAACTGAGCCTGGAGGAAGGTTAAGCTAGCGAATGGAAAGCACGCTGGGAGACTTGGGAGGAGGTAGAGGCATGAGAGTGACATGAAAATGGGGACATGTGGTGGTCTGTGACACATGAACTTTTATGCCTACAGCAGTGATCATAACTTCTGTAGTGTTCTGGGCTCGGCTAAACTGGGTTTTTCAAGTGGCTGATGAGAAGTTAATAACAACAGTAACAGCAGCAACAAAAGCAGATTATGTGCATAAATGAATGTCAGGCTGAGGCAATGGGCAAACATTTGTCTCTTAAAGGAGTTCTTAAAGAAAAAACTTGGGATTTAACCCATTGCATTATAAAGGATCTTATTGCTTCCCTTTTCTTAATTGGATCATAAAGTAGAAGCAAAATCAGAACACTGATATATAATAGGTTCTGAAGCAAGATATTGTACCATCACTTGTAGCTTCAATTGCCTGATACTGCATTGCCCTTCTTTATGACTGAGTTTGAAATTAATCTGGAGGACAATCCTGCCGGGCAGACTCTAATCATTCAGTCTCAGCCTGTGGAGGTATTTGTGATGCGATAAGTGCAAGGAGAACATGACTCTATTAAAATGATTTGTATTTCTCTCTCTTTTTTTTTTTGTTAAGTTTTTTGTTGTTGTTGGTACTGGGATTTGAACTCCACTCTTACCACTTGAGGAGCCACTCCACTAGCTGATTTGTATTTCTGACATGTGATTTTCTTATGTTTCCTCTTTCACATTTAGCATTCACTAAAAGGTAACTCTTCTAACAATTTTTCTTATTTCAAAAGCAATACATGTTTAGTTTTTATTTTCCATGTACTGTAGACATTTTTCTACCATGTGGTTTGTTTATCTCTGCTTATGTAAAATTTAAAAATATAATATATTAAAAAGAAATCCATGTTTACCATATCAACTCCTCCTAATGAGGTCACTGACTTCCTCCTCCAGTTCCTTTTTGCCTATTTTCCCTTTGCACTCAATGTTTGGATCCGACTGAAAGAGCCTTAGGAGTGAGGAATTTCATATGTTCATCTTCAGAACTTTTTCCATCTTGTAAAATCTGATTTTTTTAAACTCAAGTTTTGTATTATGTATGTATAAGAGTGAGCAGCTTTCCTCTTATTTCTTATGTCCTCAAAGTGTGAGTTTCTCCAGCTAATGTTGAGAAGTGGAGTTCTGACTAATCAGAGGCCCAAACTCTGCTCCTTCCACATGTCACTCTACATGTGACATGCTTCTGTAATCATGTGCAGACACCTGCAGACACCCCCACGTTTTCCTTTCTCAAGGTTCTCTCACCCAGAGAGGCGCAGTAGGACAAAATATCTTTGCATTCCTTCCTCAGTTCAAAGCCACAGTTGTTTAAAATTGAGGTGAACTGTTCAAATTTATAATGGAGAAATAATTATTTATAACCTTTTGATATTTTATAATTCTTTTATAGTCAACCATCAATGCAGTGATTGAGTTCTTTGGATCAAACAAGGGGTTGCATCTTGAGCAGATAACATCAGCTACATTGACAAAGTTGGAAAAAATTAAAGAGAGAAACAGCTGCAGGTGAATTTGATTGTCTATGTAAGCACCAACTAGACTTAAACATCTGTCTATTCTGATGTAAACAGTATCTGTAAAGTAGTACTGGTTGCTTTTTCTTTTTCAGTTGTAAACTCAGGTTGTATTATTCAGTGGACATGGCTCATTCAATGTTCAGTATGATTGCTAGCCCGAGTAGAAAGAGAATTAACGCGGGTGCATATGATTCTACCTGCATTACATTGAGGAACCTGTGCTTCACAACAAACTTGAGGTGGAAAATCTCCCTCCATCTCAGGTCTTCAGCAGATAGAAAGTTGCATTTCTTGACTGGTTAGTTAGGGCAGATAGCTGTGTAATTAACTGCTCAAAATGTGCTCAGCACCTGTTACTCAAACATAATAAAGATGTGTGCTGAAATACTATATTCCTAATAAAGTATTTACAAATACTTACCAATAAATTCAACAAAATGTGTATTCACTGAGGATAATCTTCTCATTTTAGATTTCAACAAAAGGCAGTTACGGTATGTTGATGTATATATAATTCTGTTAAGAAAAAAACTGAGGTTTTTTTTTCCCCTCCCTCTTAGCTCAACAGCAAAGATTCAGGTTTACAGAAGACTACAAATTTATGTATGGGAGAAATAATAAAGCGTATAACAAGTTTGATGTTGAAATAAAGAGTACGAAGCTTCTTTTGTCAAGATCAGGTAAACCAGGGCTCAACTTTTAGGATGTTCAAATTAAGTTGAGTAGCATTGGTAATGTATGTATATGTGTTTGCACATGTATATCAACCCTGATGACTATTTTACACACATATCCTGCAGGTCACTTTAGAAGATCAAGCAGGAGCTTATCAGTGCAAACACTGTCACAGTTACAGATAGAAATAGAAATTTGGTTATTCATATTAGGGTGTCTGATATCATTTGAATCTAGGCCCACTCACAGTCTGTATCTTTGTGACTATGAAACCGTTACTCAGACACAAATGGAAGTCGCAGTTGGTTCAAATTCTTCTGTCCTACTCCTTTTGGAATGTTTCTTCCCTCACTGTTTTTATTATTAAATATTACTATGTTAGTTTACCCTTTCTTTCTGCAGTACTACATTTGCTTTTCTAAGTATCTGAGAAGTGTATCTACAAACTAGTACAGGTTGAGCTGCCCTAATACAGAAGTCCTTAATGTAGTTCCTGTCCTTTTCACTGTAGTCACTCACCTTGATCACTAATTCTGGAATCGAGGTAATAAATTCCTTCTTTTTCTCCCATTCATTTTGAAATGCAGGATGATATCACTATAAAATATTCTCCAAATGCCCCAAATTATTTTTATCAGAGTCTTTGACTTCTGTCAATCTGCATTAAAATATAGATTATTTAACTTGTATGCTGGAAGAAGTAAAAGTTGGTGTTCACTGAATATGCCTACTAAGTATTTTCTAGTAACAGAGTAGTTTTGTGTAGAATTTCTGATTTTTAAAGTCATTTAATCTTTTAAATTATTTTTTAAGAGAGAAAATGGAAAATGATGATTCAGCATCCATCAACTTGGCATATATTGCAACCTGTGGATACTCATGTTGAGTTGGCCAAGGTGATGGTAGAAATCATTTATATTAGAAATCAACAGGGTGAACGATATCTGACTCAGTTACTGAATCTTAAGGAAGCAGAGATAGGTATTTGTGGGAAACAAAACTTAATGATTAGTCTCTGTTCAGAAAAATAAACAAAATTTGTTTTGGTGATCTTTTTTTCTTTTCTTTTTTTTTTTTTTGAACAGTACTGGGGTTTGAACTCAAGGCTTCATGCTTGCTAGGCAGACTCTCTACCACTTGAGCCACGCCCAGCCCAAATGATAATCTCTTTTATTTTGGAATTTCTGTAATCATTAGTGATCTTTGATTTTGAGATGATGCAATTCAATGTTTAATCTCATCAATTAAGTAATATAAAAACTTAGAGGCTCTTTTGGTATGAAACCACATTAAAAGTCTGAGAGAAATCCAAAGCAATAAAAAATAGAAACTGCATTTTGCATTTAATGAAACAATTAGAAAACACTTGTTCTTTTTTTTTTTTTTTTTTTCCTTTTCCTGAAATGGGGTTGGCTTGTAGACCTGTGGGTACTGTGAGAGGGTGTGCGGGAGGGGATGCAGCCTGTCCCGCGGGGTCCAGGCGCTCAAACTCAGTGGTTTCTGTCCCCCACAGGAGCTCTTAATCTGCCACTCCCAGCCCAGCAGGCCCAGCCCCCGAGGACGCGGCTGCTGGCGAAAACTGCACTCCTCGGCTCTGGCCCTGCACTCCTCAGTCCTCCCCCTTCGCCTGGCTGCCCGGCCACCGCCCAACCCCAGCGTGACTCAGCTGGACCTGACTCTGACCCGTGACCAGGCGCAACCATCAGGGGCAAGGACGCGTGCCACACAGACAGGGACCCGCGATTTCAGGCTGCGCCTTCTCTCCGGCATCCGCACTGCCTGTGGCTTCTGCGCGCAGCTGGAGCGTCCTCACAAGTGCCCCAAGGGGTCGGACACATGCTGCCACCATGTTGCTGTGGCCGCCTGCTGCCGGCGCTGATGGGAGGAGGAAGAGGAGGAGGAGATGGCGCCCTCCTGTCCCTGCCAGCCGCCGCCACCTGCGCGTTGCGATCCCGATCCCGCAGGAGTCGCGGTCTGGCCCGCGCCCGCTCTGTGTGCAGCAGAGATGACGAGGACCATGAAGGGGAAGGGACCGGAGCCCGTGGCCCGAGCGCCTGCAGGCCGAGGCCACCGTGACTCTGGGCAGCACCTGGTGGGGACTCCCTGCGCCTGGCCGCCCACAACAGTTGAGGCAGCGGTCGCCTCCGCCTCCTACTGCTGCGCTGAGAACGCGGCAGGAGGCGCCCTGGAGCCTTCGCGGTGGGCTGTCGCCTCAACCTCGTGCGCATGCGCAGCATGGGGATCGCGCAGCCGCAAGGCCGCCTTGGACCAGGACTTCTGCTTTGATGGCCTCAGCGAAGAGCAGGTGCACCACCTGGCCCTGTGCATCAAGGCGGAGCTCAAGGGCTTTGGCCTGGAAAGGGGCTGCCTGCTGGGCCAGGGCGAGCTGCTGCCGGGCTCCCTCCTGTTCCTCTGAGTTGGGGACATGACAGCACCTGTCCTTAGATCACTGGTAGCTACTTTGTACAAAATAAATTATTTTTATTCATGATATTTCTTTATTCATGCTTTAGTTTTTGTAATCTACCTCTGTACGTTTGGTATCGAAGGAAAAAAGTAATGACACCTGTTAGGAAAAACGCTGCTCACAAAGAAAGCTCACGAGAAAAGTCTCACGTCCATAGAGCAAAGTTTAATGGCAGGCCCAAACTGCCAGGCTGGCCGGGAAAAGATGGTGCAGCCCAGAGTCTGGCAGAGGAGTGGCTTTTATACAAGGGAGAGGTTAAGGAAGTTAGCACATGCAAGGTAGTCTCTGGTAGGGGTGGGGCTGTCTTAGAGCACGGGAATTTGTCCTTGGGAGTTTCTCAAGTGAGGGCTGAGGGTAAAATGGCTGCCAATTTATAAATGCTGACATTATTGTTCTATCATTCCCCCATTTTTTCTTTAATAATGATGAGGGTAGGGGCTGAGAATCAGGAACTGGGGAGAACCATCAGTCTCTTTAGCTGCTTCCTGCTGGCAGGGGGCTTTGTATAGGGGAGGATCCTCAGGCTCCTGTGGCGTCCTGGATGGGGCCTTCACAGTAGTTTTTTCAGGCGGTTTTGGAGAGGTTGGTTTCCCTGGAGGTACAACTGGTTAAATTTTTGATTAGCAGCAGCAGACATGTAGTATGATGCAAGGGAGGAAGCTTAAGAATAGGAGAGCAAGAAACAGGCATTAGGATGGGCATTGGCCAGGAGAACCACTGTGAAATGTTGTTCCCTAGAGGATTCCAAGAGTCTTCTAACTCCCTGTTCCATTTTTCTAATTGTTTCTTGAGAGGTGCCGCCATTGGGGGAACACATGGAGCTTGACAGCAGTGGGTGTCATGGGAATGACCAGATGAGGGCTGGTCCATCAAAGTCCCGATGGAGAGGGTAGAAGATCCTTTAGGAGAAAAAAAGATCCCCTGGTTTAATAGAAATTGTTATAGGATGGGGCAGGATCTGGTAAGCAAATATGTAAATAAACTTGACAAGATCAGCAGAAAACACAAATAATTTCTTTGATAAAATCTTTCTCTGTAACCGTTTTTTGTAGATGTTACTCAGAGCAGAACAATATTAAGATAACCTTGTTATTTTATAGACATAGAGGATTTGATTTTAGTTTGATATGACCCTAAAAATCTTTTAGGCAACTCTTAGATTATACTCAACTTTAACTTTATTACACATTGAAGCTTTTTATACACTTTTAAAACTTACTTAGACCTTTATATAACATACTAAACCCTTTGATGCTTTGTCCCTCCTATTTCAAACAATCTTTAGGATGAACCCTTCTTTATAAAATCCTTTTTCATCTAAAAACATTTCTTTTTCCTTTAACTTCTCAAAAAATACATTTACTACCTATCTATATCCTTTTTAGTTGTTTACTTTGTAGCTTGTATTTTAAAATTAGCTTTTATAAGAATTTTTAATTTATTATATGGGCTGGAGTAACTAATTAGTAGCCCCTGTTGTTTTAAGGAATTGATGATAGGCATGAGGCCTCATCATCCCTCAGGCTTGAGGGGATATTGTTTTTGGTGTGGAAACTGTGAGGGATTTTTGAGTTTTATTTGAATAGGGAGGGCCGTCCTGGCTCACCCTACACTCATCAGTCCACACTGTGGAATCTCTTTGTTCCTGAAGGAGGGGGCAGCAGAGATAGCTGCCTGGGGGGAGGAGAACTTGAGCTTTTAATTGAGATAGTAAATCCCGCCCCAGCAGGGACATTGGAGTTTGAGGTACTATGAGGAAAGAGTGACAGAAGAGGAGGTCTCCCCAAGAGCAGACCAGTAGCTGGGTAAATTAGCACTCTAGGGGCTTGCCAGATTTGCCCCGAACGATAACTTTTGTCATTGGACCAGGGACCAGGAGAAAAAGGTAAAACAGAGAAACAATCTCCACTGCCTAGGAGGAAAATGATCTTTTGTTTTTCTGCCATAATGGCTACCATGAGGCTCCTCAACATCGATGCCAAGAAGTGGAGTATGAACAGGAGGCTGGGACCCATCAATCCATAGGAGGTGGCACCTCGCCTTCCATCTGGAGGCAGGGGCACTTAGACCTCCAGTGGTTACCTTTGCAGAGAGGTCAGGGTCCTGGTTGGGGGTGGGGCTGTCTCCCGGCTGTCCCCCCTTAAGCATTCTCTGCAGAAGTGCCCCTCCTGTCCACCATGGTAGCAAGTTCAGGATACAGGCCCCAGTTGGGTGGGGCCCCCTCTGAGAGCAGCAATGAGGCCATGGTGTCTCTTATCTTTTTCTCTCCTGTTAGTAAGGTCCCGGACATACAGACATATAAATACAGACATGGCTAGCTGTATTACTTGGTTCAATGACTTTTTCCCTTCAGCCACAGTCTTTGAGTTTTTTATGAATATCTGGGGCTGACTGTTAGAAATTTATCTTTGAGGAGAACCTCTCTCACCTGTGACTCTGGGTCCACCGTGGTATGCTTTCTGAGGTCTCTGAACTGTTCTGGGCCTCAGTTTCCTCACTTGAAGAATGAGGGATCTAGTCTAGGTTAGACTACTTTCTTTCACTATGAGATGGCTGAAGTGACATTTATGCCACTTATCTTCCTTCCTTTTTTTTTTTTATTTATTTTTTTTATTTAGCAATGCTGGGGAATTGAACCCAGGGCTTTGCACATGCTGGGCAGACATTTTTTCATTGAGCTACTTTCTCAGCCCCAAATATTTTTTTTCTTTACTTTGGCTGTACTGGGCTTGAACTCAGGACTTTATGCTTGTAAAGCGGCAGCCTTGCTGAACCTTGCTTCCCCTTGGCTTGGTCTGTGCCTATCAGTCAAGAGGCCCTTTGACAGCCTTGCTCACGTCAAGGCTAAGTCCACTACCTTAGTCTCCCCTCTTGCAAGGCAGCCTTGCTGAACCTTGCTCACCTCCTTCATTCTGGTGCCCTGCCTTCTCAGCACAAAGGACTTTGACATGTCCCTGCTCATGTCAAGGTTTCTTATCATTCTATTTAGTTACTGGTCTCCCACATCTCCTCCCTTTTTATTTCTTAAATATTCTTGATGCTGTCTGTTGTTTAGTCCAAGGAGCTATTTCTGGATTGCTCAGCATCCAATTGAAAAGGTACAAAAGCAGATTAGTAGGAAAACTCCTATTTTTATGAGGTACCAGAAGTAATGTTTGAGGATTTTGGATGAATTACAACCTTGCAGCTCATCTAATATAGTTTTTGCCATATTGGCAAGAGAAATGACCTGGTCATATGCTCTCTGCCTTGCCAATATATGTTGTCTGAAGTTTTGAAAATTTAAGGTATCTTTGCTATTTTTCCAGGCTCCCATTAGATGAGTTTTGATGCTCTGCCAAGGATACTCCAATTAATTGTAGGGAGCAGCAGTGATACAAATATGCTGGAAGCCTGCATGACAGGAGGTCCTGTCTTAATTTTATAGTTTGTATCTCATCCCCCATAGCAAGGAGAGCCACCTCCAGGGTGTTTAAGCATACCTCAATTTTTTCATCTATAGACACTTGTTGTTGAAGGGCATATGTGGTATTTTGAATGAGTGTGTTAACATAGTGGGCATTGTACTGTTCAGTGGCATTGAAGCCCAAGAATAATTTCTTATCTACATAATGGGTGCCATTCCACAGAAGAGCTCTCCTCCTTATGGGCGCCGTAAGAAGGCACCATTGCAGTGAGCCTAAGCTTAATAGCACTGAAGTGGATTACCCTGTGAAATTATAGGAACTGAAGGTGGGAGTCGTGTGTCTGTTAGAGTGGCCTCCCACCAGCTGTGAATCATTGGTGTGAACTAGTATGTTTGGTCCTTTCCAGTTGCTGCCTGAAGCAGCAGTGGGTGAGGTATAAAGGTCCAGTGTTGTTGAGTTCGGGTCACTGAGCCACCTACCAGTAGGGCAATAATTGCCAACATGGCCAAGAAAAAGGCCATGGGGCTGCCTGTCAGCCCTGCACCCCTGACCATATCACCTGCCATCCTTATCAGGCACTTGATTTGTCCCCAACTGGGTGGGCCTGCTGTCTGGGCTGCTCGAGACAAATGGTTCCTGGTCCTCTTCTGGGGTGGTGCTGGCATCACTGGCTTCCATCACAGGAGAAGTTCCTTCTTTCTCCTTTCCTCTGGGGACTCAAATTGTCTCTTCATCTGTTCTGTCTTTTCCTCATCCATAGTCACAGTTTCTTCATTTGAGGGGTGAGTGGATCCATAAGGCTTCATGAAGTCAGATGGCACCCACACTGGCTGATCAGCACCTTCAGGGAAAGCATAAACATGCCCTCAGCCCCACATTAGCACCGGACTGGGGCTTTCCCATATGCCCTGTAACATCTTTCCAAAGAACCTGAGACAAGGTTGCCTTGCTGGCCTCACCCCAGTGTTTTCCTGCTGGGGTTAATTCCTGATTTGTACAATTTTTAAAATTTAGGGTATAAAGAGCTTTACTTAGCATGGTGGCAGAAGGAAGATTATCTCCCCTCTCTTTTTTTTCTTTAATTGTAATTTTAAGGTGTGATGGGCTCATTCCACAATGGCTTGTCCCTGTGGATTATATGGAATGCCAGTAGAATGGAGCATCTGATACGAGTGGCAAAATGCATTAAAACCAGCTGATGTGTACCCAGGCCCATTATCTGTTTTGATCTGGTGAGGTTTACCCATAATAGTAAAACTATCCAGGCATTGGGCTATGACATGTGTGGTGACTTTAATGCTGTGGGCAGAGGCATAAATGAAGCCAGAATAAGTGTCAATGGTGACATGTACAAAGTGAAGGTGCCCAAAGAATGGTATATGAGTTACATCCATCTGTCAGATACTCCTTGGCTGGAGGCCACGAGGGTTGATACCCTCTAGTGGAAGGGTGAGGTGTTGTGCACAGGTTTTGCAGGTTTTAACAATTTGTCGGGCCTGTTTTCTGGCAAGACGGAACTGTTTACAAAGGGCATTTGAGTTTTGATGATGGAGCGCATGACTTTGAACAGCTGTGTGACAGCAGAACCAGAA